GTCAGAGTGCAGACGCAGAACAGGAAAGTCCGAGCCGAAGCTCTTCCTGAGCTGGAGACGAGCCTCGCGGATCCAGTCGATCAGCACCTCAGTGACCGCACCCTTGCTGCGCAAGGGGAGGACTGTGGTGTAACGCGAGTAGTCGTCAACCACCAACAGGAAGTATCGCTCGTAACCCTGCCCACGGACGGGGGCTGGGCCCCACACATCCATGTGAAGCGTCTGCAGGGGAGCCTCTGTCGGGGGGAAGTGGGAGGAGTGAGGAGTAGCCCGGAGGCGACCCTCGACACAGGGGACACAGGAAGGTCCTGGCCCGGAGGGGAGAGGAGGGAGAGACTGGGGAAGACCAGAGACAAGGACACGGGAAGCCATGCTCCGAAGACGGGGCAAGGAGGGGTGGCCAAGACGGTGGTGCCACAGGAGAGTCTCGTGAGACAGGAGGCGACAAGAACAGGGGGCAGACTCAGGACCTGACCGGGACGCAGCAGCAAGTACCTGACCCGACGCAGCCACCTGACCAGACGCAGGGACAGGAGGAGACTCAACGGTCAGGGTGTAGAGACTCGACCCCCGGCCGACGCGAGAACGTGGCCAGGTGTCGGCCTGTGCGAGCCTCCGTGCAGTGGGTCACCCGCTGACGCGCAGGAGTGAACTGGTGAACACCCCCATCCTGCAGGTCCGCTCCACTCACCAAGTTCGTAGAGAACGAGGGAAGGTACAGACCCGACAGGGTGCCCGAAGGGGCAGCCGGACACGGGAGGACAGTGGAGAAGTGAGACAGGACAGGACCCCCAGAGGGGTCAGCAAGGGAGACCGCAACCGGCCTGGCGAGCGGCGAAAGGGTAGTGCGGTCTCGAAAGAAGGAGCGAGAAGCTCCGGAGTCAAGTGTGAAAGTGAGGGAGGACGAGGACGACTCAGTACCTGAGAACGCAGTCTCACCAGTACCTGAGAGCGCAGACGCACTGGCACCTAGAGCAGCAGCCTCACAAGTACCTAGCGCAGCAGTACCCATGCCCGGGTCGGGCTGGAAACACCGGTAACCCTCATTCTCCTCACTATAATCCACAACATACATAGCAGTAAGGATAGCATCAAAATCAAGATCAAAGATCGCTACACCAGCCCTGAGAAGCTCATCCCAGCGAGGGATCTCACTAGCCCCAGGAAACTGCTGACGCCAAGCGTCCGTCAGGCGGCCAAAGCAGCGCTAGGTGGCGTGGGCACCCCCACACTGCTCACCCGCGCGGTCGCCGGAACGAAGAACGTAGGTGCAGGGACCAGTACCCCCACCCCTCTGACGCCCAGCGTACCACTCACGAAGCTGCTGAGGCGAAGGGATGTCCCGTGAGCGCTGCTGCTGCTGCTGCCGGTGCGAGCGCTGGCCACCACCACCGCCGCTACGCTGCTGGGTACCACCCCGACCAGCTCCACCTCCTCCACCACTACTGCCTCCGCCGCTGCCGCCTCCACTGCCTCCACCTCCGCCGCCTCCACCTCCGCCGCTGCCTCCACCACCACCGCTGGCACCACCACCACCGTCTCCGCCGCTGCTGCCACCACCACCACCACCACCCCCGCCAATAGTCCCGCCGCCACTCCCACTCCCTCCGCCGCCACCGCCGCCACCGCCACCGCCCCCCCCAGCTCCACCCGCGCCCTTGCCTCCCTTGCCCTTGCTGGAGCGACGTCTCCCACTAGGGGCAGACGCCGCGCCGACCGACTCAAGACCAAGCAGGTCGGCAGCAGCAGCAGAGGCAACAGAGGGCAGCAAGGGGGAAGGAGAGCACCCCTCAAAGATGGGGGTGCGAGGGTCACCACGAGAAGCACCTACAGCGACTATGCTCTTCTCCGCTGCTAGGAGGGCCTTCTCGAGGAGGTCGACGGTGAGAGTGGTGGGACAGACTGCGAGAAAGTGGTCCCTGACGACGCGAAGGGAGTCAGGGAGGCGCGCGACTACGTAGTAGAGAGCGATGTACATGGGAGGGGGGTTCTTAGCGCAGAACTCAGCAGGAAGGGCGGCGCGGTAGCGAGTGTCACTAGTGCGGAGGTGCGTAATGAGGTCAGCGACAGTGGGAAAGGCAGAGAGGTCAGGAAAGAGGTAGGGAAGCATGAGACGGCTCAGTGCAGCAGTGGCAGGGGAGGAGTAGCGCGCAACTACAGCGTCGTACAAGGTCTGAGCACTCTTGTACTGACTAAAGTGCGCACGCTCAGAGGTAGGGAGGTGGCGACGCACAGCAAGACGTGCAGCAGCATCGCGGGTGGCCCACTTAGAGCGGACAGTGGGATCAGCATCAGCAGCAGGAGCAGGAGAGGCGCCAGAGGTGAGATCAAAGAGAGAAAGGTCGTCAGCCCTGTCGCACTGTAAGAACAGCTGCAGGTCGTCTAACCAGACCTCAAAATCAATGGCGCGACCCTCAGCGTCAAAAGCTAGGACACTAGGGGTAGCCATGGCGACTACTGTGAAGCAGTGCAAGCAGTAGGGGGGAGAGCACGCAGTGACAGTGGGACTGTGCTCACCAGGCAGGGCAGGTCGCGCAGCTCGACAGAAAAGCAGAACGGCGACCGGGCGGCTCGGGTGTACAGCGGATCGGCTCCCGGGCGGCTCGACGGCAGGGCGGCTCGGGTGCAGGGCGGCTCGGCTCCCGGGCGGCTCGGCTGCAGGGCGGCTCGGGTGCAGGGCGGCTCGGCTCCCGGGCAGCTCGGCTGCAGGGCGGCTCGGGTGCAGGGCGGCTCGGCTCCCGGGCGGCTCGGCTGCAGGGCGGCTCGGGTCCCGGGCTGCTCGGCGACAGGCGGCTCGGGTCGCGTAGAAGTGAGACGGGGGGGGGGGGCGCGTCAGGGCCGGCGGTAGGGCCGCGTAGGAGCCGGGGCAGGGCCGCGGAGGAGCCGGGGCGGGGCCGTGAGAGGAGCCGGGGCAGGGCCGAGTAGGAGGTCGGCGGTGGGGCCGCTTAAGGGGCCGGCTGCGGGGCCGAGTGGGAGCCAGCTGCGGGGCCGCGGGAGAGCCGGCGCGGGGCCGCGTAGGAGCCGGCGCGGAGCCGCGTAGGGGCCGGGGACGGGCCGCTTAAGGAGCCGGCGCGGGGCCGCGTAGGAGCTAGCGGCGTGGCCGCGTAAGGGCCGCGTAAGGGCCGCGTAAGGGGCCGGCGCGGGGCCGCGTAAGGAGCCGGCGGCGTGGCCGCGTAAGGGCCGCGTAAGGGCCGCGTAAGGGGCCGGCGCGGGGCCGCGTAAGGGCCGCGTAGGAGGCGACGCGGGGCCGCGTAAGGGCCGGGCCGGGGCCGCGTAAGGAGCAGGCGGCGAGGCCGCGTAAGGAGCAGGGCGGGGCCGCGACAGAGTGGGCGGCGAGGCCGCAGGGGAGAGGGCGACTCGAGGGGTCGCTAAAAAAAATCGCGCCTCGGGGGCGCGCTTCGGTGGGCCCAAAAAAATTTCGGTCCTGGAGGGACGTAGCTCTATACCATGTGGAAATGAGTAAGCAGGAATGAATGGAACTAAGAATGAAAGCAGTACAAATATGAAACCCTAACTGGGTTGTACCCCCTATGGGATACCCCACTACAGCCTACACAGCAGTATAAGCTATAGATATGTTCTGACACATACATTTACTGTTCGTAAGCCCGCTCAGTTACCACATTCTTTGTTGTAACACTGTATTGAACCTATCTTGCGGACACAATCAGCTTTCGTTCACAAAACGGCACGCCCCTTGCACGTACCTCGAGTCGTCTGACTCACGTACTGGAATCAGCAGGGACGCGAACAAGGGTACAGCACCGCGTCCTGGCCACTACAGTAGTGTGTCAGAATCCCAACCACTAGACCATTGGGATAAAAGGGCTTGTTTCAGTAGCGGGTCAGTGCGCCCATAACCCCCCAGACGAACGCGCCTGTAACCCTCTCCAGGATCAATCGGGCATCCATAGTGCAGATCTACTGACACCCCCCCACACTGGGAGGCCCAGGACTAAGCACAGCGGCAACGGCCTACATGTGCATACACCGGGAATCGAACCCGAGACCGCTCTGATACCATGTCAGAATCCCAACCATTAGACCATTGGGATAAAAGGGCTTGTTTCAGTAGCGGGACAGTGCGCCCATAACCCCCCAGGCGAACGCGCCTGTAACCCTCTCCAGGATCAATCGGGCATCCACAGTGCAGATCTACTGACATAGTGCCCCTGTATCGCTTGCACAATTTCGCCAGTAGCTCGCTACACTTGCCGACACCCCCCGTGCTTGCCCAAAAATTCATTGGTTATGATTGACGAGGGAAACTGTTACCTCGTTTCGAACGCGAGCAGTGTTGATTCGTGTGGCGGAGAACGTGTCCGCGCTCCTGAAATTACAGGTAGGTGGGACTCAACTCACAATGCATTCGTTTATAGGTACAGTGAAAACTTTTGAACGTCGAGACGTGTGTTGGCACTAAAAACCCCGAAATGAACGAACTAGACACGCCCCTAGGGCGGGTCGAGTTTTGCACTCCCGTTTTTTTCGTATTTTTACGTCAATGCACTAGTCAGACTGACTGGCCCCAGGGCGAACTCCAAACATTTCCTGTCCAGTTCCGAGTGCACAATTCGGACTTTTGACAAGTTACAGTAACGCTGCGGGATACAGTACCTGGGATGAGGAGATTCATTGGCGAAAACACTTAGCGAAAATGGGTACCTTTTGGCGTGTTTGACGCGAAACGAGTTTGACGTGAGCCTTCGGACGTGCTCTGCACGTCCCCGGGCCGTTTCCGTAATGTCATCATACATGTACAGTCTCGCGTCAAAATGGATTCTGGTACGTTTGTAGTTCTGTTACATGCCCAAATGTGCTAACTATGCTGGAAATTAACCCTACATGTGCAAAGTTGGACCCGCCCTTAATTTCCCATGATGTCTCTGCTTGAGTCGGCCCTGCTCCCACCTGCTAGGGGTCTCTGATTGCCTCGTTTAACACGCTCGCCGTTGCGACTCACTTCCCGTTGACAGCGGAGCACCTGATGGTGGCCGCGCATGGCTCGCGGTACGTGCTCCGCTCAGTCCTACCCAACCGCTTTCGGCGTTCCATTTTCCAGTATGGGGTCGAACACACCCGTCTCGCTCACATTCGCGGCATCGTGTTGTCGCGGCCCCACTGCCTGTTTCTCCGCCTCTCCTGTTCGCTTCCCTCCCGTGCCTCGCCCCCCAAATCCCCCCCCCCCGCCCCCTTTTCCCCGATCGTTCCGCCCCGCCATTTCCCGCAGGTCGCCGCGCTCACGGTACCTCCGTAGCGTTCGTCAGCACGCAGGCGCTGCTCGCCCTCACGCTCGCTCTGCTGCTGCTGCGATCCTACATTAGTCGCCAAGGTATCGTACGCTCGTCGGCTTTGCATCTCATGCTCGTCGCAGAGATATTGCACACCTTCAGCGCGGCTATGCGTCATGCTGTGCCATTCCCCTCTCGCCACGTCACCTCCCCACCCCCCGCGCCCTTCCGCTTCCATCGTTCCCCGCAGCCGCGCCAAGCCAGGCATGGTCGGCGCTCTTCCCCTGGGGCTGCGCGCTGTCCGCCTCTCAGGCGGGGGTGGCAGCGCGCCTCGTAGTGGGACGCGCGGGGGAGGTGGCCATAGGGGAGGGCGCGGGAGGATGGGGCGACACTGCCGCTGCATCGGGGTCTGTTGACCCCGACGCTGCTGGCGTGGGTGCGTCGGAGCAGCGTGGTGCGGGGTCGAGCGGGGGAGAGGCGCCGGGTGAAGCAGGAGGCGCGGGGAGGCTAGTGGAGCAGCAAGGCCGCCCGTCGATCAAGGAGGAGTCAGCGGGTGCTGCGGGCGGGGGTGATCAACCAGCACACTCTGCAGCTGTAGGTGCTGCAGCCGTTGGGGTTACAGATGGCGCGAGCACAGCAATTGGGGTCCTCGATGGCGCAATCCCAACCGTTGATGCTTCAAACGGCAGCATGTCCGCTGCCAGTAACGGCAGCGAGGCCGGGGTTTCATCAGTGGCGGCGGAGCTAGCAGAGCACGCAGCATGCGAGGGTGCTGCGCTGACAGAGGAAGACGTGCGCGCATGGCAGGCGGAGGAACACGTGGCGTTTGGACACGTGGAGGTGGAGGGGGGCGTGGAGGGGAAAGGGGTGGAGGGCGGGCAAGGGGGCGTGGCGGAGGCGAGGGTGAACGAGGAGGTGTGCTTCACGGTGCGAGGTGAGGTGAGGAGGGTGGTGAGCGGCGAGGGGGAGGGGGTCCAGGGTGAGAGGGGAGAGGGGGGAGGGGGGAGGGGGAGGGGGGAGAGGGGAGAGGGGAGGGGGGAGAGGTCAGACTTGCAGCGATGAGCTTATGGGAGAGGCGGATGGGCTAAGTTGACATTGGGGAGAAACGATGCATGCAGCGTGCGGCATGCTGCATTGGCCATGCCATGTTGTGAGAAGTGGAGCGTAGGCGGCTATGTGTGGCCGGTGGGGGCTATGTGTGGCCAGTGGGGGCTGGCTATGTGTGGCCAGTGGGGGCTATGTGTGGCCAGTGGGGGCAATGTGTGGCCAGTGGGGGCAATGTGTGGCCAGTGGGGGCAATGTGTGGCCAGTGGGGGCTATGTGTGGCCAGTGGGGGCAATGTGTGGCCAGTGGGGGCTATGTGTGGCCAGTGGGGGCTATGTGTGGCCAGTGGGGGCTGTGGCGGGACTGGCAAGGTGATCTCATCTCCTTGTGCGGTGGGGTGCTGTCATCTCATCTCCATCGCTTCGCGCCTTTTCAACGTGTCCTGCACCCCCTTGTGCGCCTTTTCAACGTGTCCTGCACCCCCTTGTGCGCCTTTTCAACGTGTCCTGCACCCCCTTGTGCGTGCGGCGTGCAGCACTGGATGCCAACGGGAGGGCATTTGACAACGGATGCAGGTAGGCCGCTGCTGCGAATGAGGTTGCTGTGAATAAGCCACGGCTGCGTGCCTGAATTCCGCCGAGCTCATGTGTCTGTCTCCTTCCCATCGCATCTCTCTGCACCCACCATTTATCATCATCCACTCTCCCCCTTACTATTCGCCCCCTTCCTACCCTTGTAGCCCCTGCCCTCACGCTCCCCTTCCGTGTCGCGTCCTTTCAAAAGCTGAATGTAGTCTCTTCTCGCACCCGCCAGGCAGAGGGCGTTCCTGGTGGCGTTGGTTGCGCTGCAGCGCCGCCAGGGCAGCACCGACGCCCGCACTGATGCTCACAAGGGGGGCAGCGGCAGCGGCAGTAACAGCAGTGGGAGCAGCGCGGATTCGTGGGTGCAGGGCAGTGCGCGCGTGACAGAGGTGCCAGTGGCTGTGAGCGCGCAGGCGAGAGCAGCTGCTGGGCGGGCGGCCGTGCTGCTGGAAGAGTGGGAGCAGGGCGCAGAGAGGGGACAGGGAGGACAGGGGGAGGACGGGGTGAAAGGGGAAAAGGGCGAAGGAGGGGAGGAGGGGGCGGGCGCGGATGTGCGCATGGCAGCACGGGTGACATACCACCCTGGCAACTCGACCCACCAGGTGAACACCCACGCGTCCCTCCCACCCACGCGTCCCTCCCACCCACGCGTCCCTCCCACCCACGCGTCCCTCCCACCCACGCGTCCCTCCCACCCACGCGTCCCTCCCACCCACGTGTCCCTCCCACCCACGCGTCCCTCCCACCCACGCGTCCCTCCCACCCACGCGTCCCTTCCCATGGGACGACACCACCCTCGCCGCCATGCAATCACATCCTGACTACTCTTCCGTTTTCCCGTCCACTGCTTTGCCCGCTGCACAGCTCATCGCGCCGCACAGCTCATCGCGCTGCACCTGTTCGCACGCGCCTCTGTGCCTGCTGCGCCTCTCTCCTCCGCTCACCTGCCTTTACTCCCGTGCACCTCGCCCCCCATCAGTCCCGTGCACCTCGCCCCCCATCACTCCCGTGCACCTCGCCCCCCATCACTTGGCCCGCACGCCACCTGCGCTTCCATCTCGCCCGCCCCGCCTCTTCCCGCACTCTCCCTCCCAGTTTCGTCTGCCTTAACCCATCCCCTCCCATCGCCTCTCATCGCCTCCCATCCCCTCCCATCCCCTCTCCCCCTCCCCACCCCTCCCATCCCTCCCATCCCCCCTCCCCATCCCCTCCCATCCCTCCCATCCCCTCTCCCCCCTCCCAGGTGTGCTACCAGCTGCCGCTGCCAGGCCGCTACGTCCTCTCGCTGCACCTCCTCTTCTCCGCCACCTTCCCCCTCCTGCGCTCCAATGCGCGCACCTCCTTCCTTGGGGGGTTCTCCAAGTGAGGCGCGGGGGGGGTGGGGGGGGAAGGGAGCTGGGTGGGGGGGAAGAGGGGGGTTGCGGGGTGTGGGGGGGAGGATGGAAGGGGCACGCCCAAACGGAGGCTAAAAAGGTGAGGCGGAGGGGTGAAGAGGGCCCGGGGGGGGTGAGAGAGTGAAGGGATGTGCAGGTTCCTTGGAGGTTCACACAGCTGCCTTGGAGGGTTGTGAAACAACTGAACTGATTCTGAGAGGCCACACTCGTGGCTCATGCGTGGATGCATGCGTGGATGCATGCGTGGATGCATGCGTGGCATCCCCAAGTCAACCTGCACTCAGTACCGCTGTATCGCCATCAACTTCCCTTCATTGCTTCCCATTACTCCGATTCTTCCCCCTTTCTTCCCCCTTTCCTCCCCCATTGCCCCCACTGCAGCTACACGGTGGTGCAGTCGCAGGCCATTCAAGCATCAGCGCCGCCCACCTTCTCCCTTCACGCACACAGGTGCCTTCTTGTCACATGCCATGCCATGGGGCGTGCGTGGGACTGCCCAGTGTGCCGCATGTGTCCTCGCATGTGTCCTCGCATGTGTCCTCGCATGTGTCCTCGCATGTGTCCTCGCATGTGTCCTCGCATGTGCTATCTCTTTGCTCTTACACCACGTCCCTCCTCTCTCCCCTCACCCATCCCACCGCCCTCGCTCCTCTCCCCTCTCTTCTCATTACTCTCTTATCTCTCAAAGCTCTCCATCTCTCAGCCTACCACCTCTCTTCACTGCTGTCCACCGCACACACTTCTGATCATACCGCTCGGCCGGCCCAAAACCATTTCTCGAAGAGCCTCCTCCAACGCATATCCCCCATCTCATGCCTTCTTCGCGCGTCCCTCAACACCTCATGCCTTCTTCGCGCGTCCCTCAACACCTCATGCCTTCTTCGCGCGTCCCTCAACACCTCATGCCTTCTTCGCGCGTCCCTCAACACCTCATGCCTTCTTCCCTCTATGCCTCTCGCTTCGCCTCCCTCTGTTTACCCTTCCACTAACTCCCTCCACAAACTCCCTTGCTTGCCGCTCATCCCTGTTCCCCTCACACCGCTCATCCCCGTTCCCCTCACACCGCTCATCCCCGTTCCCCTCACACCTCTCGTCCTCGTTCCCCTCACACCTCTCTCCCGCTCTGCACCCATCCTTCCACAACGCCACCTCTCTCTCTTCTCCTCCTCCCTCTCCCCTATTCCTTCCCCTTTCAGAGCCACCCTCCCTTACTGCACGCCACCGCTCCTCACCGCATCTCACCACTCGGGCTACTGGATGGGCCACCTCTGGCAGCCCCACGCATGTCGCCTGCGCCGCCTCTCCCCCCCCGCCCTGCACGCGTGCTTCAAAGGCCGCTCGCTGCTCTTCCTCGGTGACTCCCAGCTGCGCTACACCTTCGGCTTCCTGCGCCTCCTCCTCCGCTTCCCCTCCCGCGCCGCCTTCCTCACCAAGTTCGCCGCCAAGCCCAAGGTGAGCCGCCAAGCCCAAGGTGAGCCGGGGGTTACTGAGCTTGGCCGGGGAGGCAAGTCCAAGCTGAGGAGGCAAAGTCAGGATGAGCCACTACGCGCATTGCAGGGTGGGTATGGTCGCTGCTGTGCGGGCACAACCAGGTTTGCCAAGCCTTGGGGCTCATATGAACTCTTCCTGCGCCTTGCATTTCTGATGAACTCTTCATGCCGCTTGCGCACAGCACAGGTGTGTGGGTTGCTGCTGCTGCTGCTGCTGGATTTGGATTTCTTCCGAATCTCAAGTTTTCTTGTCAGCATCAGGCTCTATGAATATTCCAGAGGCGACCTGCCACAGCTGCATCACATGCAGCAGTCCGGTATCAACAGCTTCTCACAGCAACCTGCTACCCTCCCCCTCCCCCTCTCCTTCATCTCCATCGATCCGATGCCACCTCCTCTTCATCCAATCACCGGTTGCTACTTACACATCTCCACCTCCCCCTCCCCCCCAAACACTCTCATCTCACAGATGTTTTGGCCCAACATGCTGGCCTGTGGCAGTGTGCCACGTGGCAACGGGTCCATCTACCCACCAATCAACAGCAGCACGGGCGAGCTCATCTCAACAGGCGTGTGCCAGCAGCCCGACTCCGCCTTCTTCTTCCACGGGGAGAACTTCAACGGCTATGGCCGCGCGCTGTACGTGCCCACACATCCCATCCCATCCCATCCCATCCCATCCCATCCCATCCCATTCCGACCCATTTCATCACATCTCATCCCATCTCATCCCAACCCATCCGATTTCATCCCAACCCATCCTATTCCAACCCATCCCATCCCTTCCTATCCCATCCCACCCCCCCCTCTCCCCTCCCCTACTGTTCTGTGCCATCCTATCCCATCCCATCCCATCCCATCCCATCCCACCAGGTACAAGGTGAGGGCAGCGGAGGGCAGGCCAGCAGCGGCCTTCAACCTCACGTACGTGTCGCAGTGCGGCGCCATGAAGCCCGTGTTGCCCGCGTGGATGAGCGACCCCGCCCTCGTGGGGCCAACCCTCGCTCTCTTCAATGCACGCGGCTCGGATGGTAGCGCCGATGCTCCCAATAACAGCACTGGTGGCAGCAGCAGCAGCAGCAGCAGCAACAGTAGCAGCAGTGGGGAGGGCAGCAGCAGCGGCATCAGGGGAGGGGGGCAAGGGGAGTATGACATGGCGCTGGTGGGCACCACTCTGCACGACCTCATTCAGCAACCCACCGCCAAGGCCTTCGGTGCCCTCCTGGGTAGGTGCCCTCCTCAAAAGATACTTTCCTGCGTATGTACCATCCAGGGTAGGTGTGTCGCACACAACTCTCCATCCAGCGCGCCTCACAGCATGCGCTATGGTGCTCCATACATGGCCTTACTCTCTCCGCTTTCCTGCTCCCCCCCACCATCCACACTCGCACGTGCTACCGCCGCTGCTGCCAGCCGTGACCATCCCGCTGCCATACTGGCTGTGTTGGCGCCGTGGGCTGAGCTCCTCCCCTTGCTCCCCCCTGCGCCATCTCTGCCCATCCAGACTCTCAACTGCTCCCACCACTACTCACAGTCATGACAAACCCCTCTGCACTGACTATCTTGGTGCAGTGGGCTTACCTCCTCCTCTTCCTCGCCCCTAGGTCATCTCCCCCTCCCTCCCTTATCCAGACTCCCACCTGCTCCCCCGGCTGCTACCAGTCATGAGCAACCGCGCTGCACTGAATGTATCGGGAAAGTGGGCACTGCTTCTCCTCTTGCTCCCCCGCCCCTTCTCCACCTCCCTCCCACATCCAGACTCCCACCTGTTGGCCCCACTACGAGCGTGACGCTGCTGGGCCTGTGGCCTTACCTCCTCTTTCCCTCCGCTGCACCATTTTTCCCCCATGCAGAGTCCAACCTGCTTTCACCACTACTGGCGGTCATGAGGGACCGCGCAGCCGTGGCACTGCTGGGCCCGTGGGCGGCGAGGGAGGACAGCAAGCCACCGGAGTTCATCCCTGTCAGCAACAACGCGCGTGCCGTGGCGTTTGAAGAGGAGCTCCTCAGGTGCGCTGCTGGGTAGACTCACGTGCCTTGAGGTGCCTTCCGGTGCCTTGCCTGCAGATGCCCCGGTCCCACCAGGCTTATCTGTCTGTGCTGGTTCAAATTGTTCATTTCCGCGCATGCTGCTTGCGTGTCCTGTCTGCCATTCATGTCGTTTCAAGCTAGCCCTGTCAAGCCATTTCCCTCCACATACCCCAGTGCACCCACCGCAGTGCATCCCAGTGCGCTCCAGTGCATGCAGCACACTGGGCATGCTGCCACTCACTGACAAGGACGCCATATCTACTTGAACGCACACTCGACCCTCGCAGCGCAACAGCTTTTCCTTTGAAGCATCCTCCACGCTGTCAACACACTACCCCTCCACCCCTCCTCCCCACCCCTCTTCCCCTCCAATCCCTCTCAGGCGGCTACCGTCCACCCAGCCCGGGGCAGCCAGTGCACTGGGCATGATGGGGCTGACTCTCCCGCGCCCAGACCTGTGTCCCGACAGCACACACTACGCCTGGCCCGTCACCCTCACCATCCTCGACCTCTGGCTCACCCCCCTCTGCGCCCCACACGCTTCACACGCTCCTGAACTCTAGCGAGTAACTCAAGGCCTGGAACTGCTGGTCACGGCTCATGCCCGAAGATGATAACAGTCACTCGTGGGACACCTGCCTATAGTCATGACTCGGGCCACTCCCACACCTCATTCCGTCCCCATTCCCCTTGCATTTGACACCATATCTGAAGTTGCAAGGGGTTCGATTCGAAACACAGCAACCAGGCTTGAGAAGATTGGTCAACTGCGGCTGTCCTTTCTCTGAAACTCTCTGGTTCTAGTTTCAACCAATATGTGCCTTTTATGCAGGCCCTACGAAGTCATACTTTTTTCTCTGATTTGCACAAAAAACTCTGATATTTCAGATTTTTTTTCCACTGTACTCTGTTAAAATCAGACTTTTTTGGGCCCAAACTCTGTAATTTTCAGACTTTTTTTAAGGCTAACTCTGAGAGTTCAGAGTTTTCTGAGAGTGTACTCTGATCATTCAGAGTACAAACGCGTCCTTGACTGGTGATTCGGACTTACGGGTCACAACAGATTCGCAATGTCAACGCAAAATCGCCTTGACACAGCAAATCCGAGCCTTACAGCACAAGATTTTCGCCCAATCATAGCAAAATCGCCCTGACACAACAGATTTGCGCTGTCAGAGCACAACAATTTTCTACCAATCACAGAAAACTCGCCCTGACATTGCAGATTCGCTCTTTCGCACCACAAGATTCGCCCTGACACATATATTCGCCCTGTCAGAGCATGTTTTATCGGAAATCCCCTTAGTGTTGTGTGTTTCGGTAGCAGATGAATGAAACATTAATTACATTCCGATGAAACATCGATTACATTGTTTTTGAATGATCAGACTTTTTTTTTAGGACACTCTGAAATTTCAGCCTTTTTTTTTTACCAACTCTGAGATTTTCAGACTAAAATTGAGTACTAGTCTGACGAATCAGACAGGCCAAAAACGAATCTGAGGGCCTGCTTTTATGTCATTTATAAATCGGTAAATCGGTGCGTTCCTAGATGACTAATGGCCTGTTACCGTAGCTCCAGGCTGCCATTACTAGGTCTCTCAAGGTCCAATTTCATACGGTATTGATCAAGCCTCCTACCCGAGGTACGCTCAAGGCGTACCGTATTACCCCGGATAAAAGCGCACATGCGCTTATAATAAAACATGTTTTTTCAGGGGGGTGCGCTTATAATTGAGTAAAAAATATAAGCGCATGCGCTTAAAAAATAACAAATAAACAAGTTTAAATTACTAGCTCGAAAATTTAGTTCACGTCATTGCGCACCCAATCGAGTCGATTTGAAACAGGTGTCAGAACATTATAGCTTACTTATTTGTGTAGGCTATAGTGGGGTATCCCATAGGGGGTACAACACAATTAGGGTTTCCTATTTGTACCCACTTCGTTCATAGTCATTTCATTCTCGTTCTTTCTTTCACATGGAATCAGAGCAGGTCCCATCCTAGGGACTGTTCTTTAGGGCCCACCGAAGCGCGCCCGAGGCGCGCGCCTTTTTTTTAGCGACCCTCCGAGTCGCCCTTTTCCTTCGCGGCCCCGCCGCCCTACTACGCGGCCCAGCCGCCGCCCTACCTTAGCGGCCCACCCGCCGCCCTTGCTCGCGGCCCCGCCGTCCCGTCGCGGCCCCGCCACCCAGTCGCGGCCCCGCTACCCCTACGCGCGGCCCCGCCACTCCGTAGCGGCCCCGCCACCACTTCGAGCGGCCCCGCCCCTTCGTCGCGGCCCCGCCACTCTGTCGCGGCCCCGCCACTCCGTCGCGGCCCCGCCACCCCCCCTTCGAGCGGCCCCGCCACTCCGTCGCGGCCCCACCACTTCGTCGCGGCCCCGCCACTTCGTCGCGGCCCCGCCACTTCGCGCGGCCCCGCCACTTCGTCGCGGCCCCGCCACTCCTTCGAGCGGCCCCCGCCACTCTGTCGCGGCCCACCCGCCGCCCTACCTGCGGCCTACCCGCCGCCCTACCTGCGGCCCGCCCGGCCGCCCTACCTACGCTGCCCAGTAGCAGCCGAGCCGCCCGGAGCAGCCGAGCCGCCCAGGAGCCACCGAACCGCCCTGCAGCAGCCGAGCCGCCCAGCAGCCGCCGAGCCGCCCAGCAGCACCCGAGCCGCCCGGAACCTCCGAGCCGCCCAGCAGCAGCCGAGCCGCCCAGGAGCCGCTGAGCCGCCCAGTAGCAGTCGAGCCGCCCTGCAGCAGCCGAGCCGCCCGGGAGCCGAGCCGCCCAGCAGCCTAGCGGCCGTGTCGCCAGGCGACCTTCCTTCCGAGTCGCCCGACCTGCCCTGCCGGATGAGCACTGCACTGCTGTCACTGCGTACCCTTCCCCTACTGCTTGCACTGCGTCACTGTCGTCGTCATGGCTACACCCAGTGTCCTCGCTTTTGACGCTGAGGGTCGAGCCATTGACTTTGAAGTCTGGCTCGACGACCTGCAGCTGTTTTTACAGTGCGACAGGGCCGACAGTCTGTCTCTCTTTGACCTCACCTCTGGCGCCGTCCCTGCCCCTGCTGCTGATGCTGACGCCACTGTTCGCTCTCAGTGGGCCACGCGCGATGCTGCTGCACGTCTTGCTGTGCGTCGCCACCTGCCTACCGCTGAGCGCGCGCACTTAAGCCAGTACAAGAGTGCTCAGACCTTGTACGACGCTGTAGTTGCGCGCTACTCCTCCCCTGCCACTGCTGCACTGAGCCGCCTCATGCTCCCCTTCCTCTTCCCTGACCTTGCCGCCTTTCCCACTGTCGCTGATCTCATCACGCATCTCCGCACTAGTGACACTCGCTACCGCGCTGCGCTTCCTGCTGACTTCTGCGCCAAGAACCCCCCCCCCATGTACATCACTCTCTACTTCCTAGTCACTCGCCTCCCTGACTCCCTTCGTGTAGTCCGGGACCACTTCCTCGCGGTCTGTCCCACCACCCTCACAGTCGACAGCCTCGAGAAGGCCCTCCTTGCAGCAGAGAAGAGCATAGTTGCTGTAGGAGCCTCTCGAGGTGACCCCCGCGCCCCCATCTTTGAGGGGTGTTCTCCTCCCCCTCTCCTGCCCTCTGTCGCCTCTGCCGCTGCGGCCGACCTCGTTGGTCTTGAGTCGGTCGGTGCGGCGTCTGCCCCTAGCGAGAGACGCCGCTCTGGCAAGGGCAAGGGGGGCAAGGGAGCGAGTGGGGCCAGTGGGGGCGGTGGAGGTGGAGGTGGAGGCGGCGGAGGGAGTGGGAGTGGCGGTGGAGGTGGTAGCGGGGGTGGGGGCGCTAGTGGCGGCAGTGGAAGCGGGGGTGGCGGCGGCGGTGGCGGTGGTAGCGGAGGTGGCGGAGGTGGCGGCGGTGGAGGCGGAGGCGGTGGAGGTGGAGGTGGAGGCGGGGGTGGCGGAGGTGGAGGTGGTAGGAGTGGAGCTTCGCAGCGGAGCGGCACTGGGGGAGGTCAGCGCCACCAGCAGCAGCAGCAGCAGCAGCGTTCTCGCGACGTCCCCACCCCTCAGCAGCTCCGTGAGTGGTACACGCAGCGTCAGCGCGGTGGGGGTTTTGGTCCCTGCACCTACGTTCTCCGCACTAGCGACCGCGCTGGAGAGCAGTGTGGGGGCACCCACAACGCCTTGCGCTGCTTTGGCCGCCTGACGGACGCTTGGCGCCAGCAGTTCCCGGAGGCCGCGGAGATCCCCCGCTGGGGAGAGCTGTCTAGGGCTGGTGTAGCTATCTTTGATCTTGATTTTGATGCTATCCTTGCTGCCATGTATGCTGTGACCATTAGTGATGAGGGTGACTGTTACCGGTGTTTCCCGCCCGACCCGGGCATTGGTACTGCTCCTCTAGGTGCCGGTGAGGCTTCTGCTCTAGGTGCCAGTGCGTCTGTGCTCTCAGGTGCTGGTGAGGCTGCGCTCTCAGGTACTAGTGCGTCTGCGCTCTCAGGTACTGCGTCGGCTTCGGCCTCCCTCACCTTCACTCTTGACTCTGGAGCGTCTCGCTCTTTCTTTCGGGACCGCACCACCCTTACGCCGCTTAGTCGGCCTGTTGCGGTTTCCCTGGCTGACCCCTCTGGGGGTCCTGTCCTGTCTCGCTTCTCCACAGTCCTCCCGTGTCCGGCGGCTCCCTCTGGCACCCTGTCTGGTCTCTACCTCCCCTCGTTCTCTACGAACTTGGTGAGTGGTGCTGACCTACAGGATGTCGGAGTCCACCAGTTCACCCCTGCTCGTCAGCGAGTGACACACTGCACAGAGGCTAGCACGGGTCGTCACCTGGCTACGTTTACACGTCAGCCAGGGTCGAGCCTGTACACACTGACCACTGCTTCTCCTCCAGGTGCTGAGTCTGGTAGCGTCCCTTCGTCTGGTCATGTGTTTGCTGCAGCGTCCAGGTCTGGTCCTGAGTCTGCCCCCTGTTCGTGTCGCCGTCTTTCTCACGAGACCCTCCTCTGGCACCACCGCCTTGGCCACCCCTCTCTGCTTCGGCTCAGAGGCATGGCCTCTCGTCTTCTTGTGTCTGGTCTCCCCCGGTCCCTCCCTCCCCTTCCTCAGGGCCCTGGCCCTGCCTGTGTCCCCTGTGTCGAGGGGCGCCAGCGTGCTGCCCCTCACTCCTCCCAGTTTCCTCCGATAGAGGATCCGTTGCAGACGCTTCACATGGACGTGTGGGGCCCTGCCCGCGTCCGTGGACTCGGTCACGAGCGCTACTTCCTGTTGGTGGTTGACGACTACTCGCGTTACACCACAGTCTTCCCCTTGCGCAGCAAGGGTGATGTCACTGAGGTGCTGATCGACTGGATCCGCGCAGCTCGTCTCCAGCTCAGGCAGAGCTTTGGCACGGAATTTCCGGTGTTGCGTCTGCACTCGGACAGAGGCGGAGAGTTCTCCTCTAGCCTTCTGCGTGCCTACTGTCGTGCGCGAGGCATCCGCCAGACCTTCACGCTTCCGGACTCACCGCAGCAAAATGGGATTGCTGAGCGCCGCATTGGCATGGTCATGGACGTCGCTCGTACGTCTATGATGCATGCGGCTGCCCCCCATTTTCTGTGGCCGTTTGCGGTCAGG